GTGAGTCCGGTACAGCCAAGGCTACACAGAGAAACCCTGTCTCAAACCCCTCCCCACCCCCCAAATAAAAGAAGAGGAAGAAGAGCCATAAGTGTGCTCCGTTATAGATGAGCTGCAAAGGAGGAGTGCTGTCCCCAAGCATCGGCTTACTTATCCATAAAATGAGGTCACACTGTAACCTAGTGCATTTGGATGGCGGACTAAGTGAGATGGTACCCGAGCCTTCAGTTTAACACAACCTAGAAACACCTAGGAAGAGACGTCTTGATTGCCTACTTTGGGTTGGCCTATGGGCACGTTTGTAGGGAAATGTCTTAAGTTAATTCTGAAGAGACCCAGCCCGGTATGGGTGGCAGGAGCTGCTGAGCAGAGCACAAACACTTGAGCGTGTGTGTGTTCTCTTCTCTCTGCTCCTGGCTGTGGATGTGATGTGAGCAGCTGTCTGAAGCTCCTGACTCTTGACTTCCCCACGACAGGCCTGGATTGTAAACTGATGTAAACCCTTTCTTTCCCCTTCAAGTTGCTTTTCCTCAGAGTGTTTTATCACAGCATTAGAAAATGACACAAGGACCGTATCCTTACACCACTCAGCTCAGTGCTCCTCACCTAAGAGTTCAGGGGACGATTTGCACTGTCTCCAGGGCCCTGCCCTGGGCCCTGTACTTTCCCCTCCCCAGGAGCCTGCACTGCCACCCTAATTACACCTAATTGAGTGATAAGGGGGATTTGCCTTATCAGGCTCCAGATTACAGCTGGAAAACAGGAGGCTAAAGGAAGCAAGTTAGCTTCTTTTACTTTCTTGTCCTGGTATTTAGACAGCAGGAGGTACAGGCTCACAAGTTCAGCCTTCCACACCCTGTGTGCATTCATGGCTTCCCACGCTCTCTCTCTGCTGGTACTTACTGTGTGCTGAACAGCATGGAGGGGACACAGGCTACTTCTGGGAGTTTGTTGATTGCTCCAAGAGCAGATGCTCAGGCTCTAACATGAACCCCTGCTTGGCTCTTAGATAAGGGAGAGGAGCCCCCTTCAGACTCTGCGGTGGGGCTGGGGCTGGGGTCCACCTGTGAGGGGCATCTGAGTGTGATGGGAGGTCTGAAGAGAGGACAGGGCAGCTGTGCTTCGGGAGGGGATGGCGTGATGGGGAATGATCTCAAGGCTGTCTTCGGATTCAGAATTTCCATTTCAGAAGAAGTGGTTTTAAGTTGAGTCTCCCTCAGTCTAGTTTTCATGTTAAAACCTGGGTCTTGGGCCTGCAAGCTGCCTCTGCAGGTAAAGGTTTTTGCAGCCAAGCCTGACCACCTGAGTTTGGTTCTCAGGATCCACGTGATAGAAGGAGAGAACCCACTCTTACAAGTTTTTTCCTGATTTCACATGTGCACTGCGGGGACACATAAGAAAGAAAGAAATAAAATATAGTCCTCAGTCTGCTGTGCAGACAGCCGTGGCCCTCACTCATCCTGTAGTGGTCCCATACAATTGTAATGGATGGCTGGGGGTGTGGCTTTTTTGAGTACTTGCCTGACATGCCTGAAGCCCTGAGTTCCATCCACAGCCCTGCACAAACCCAGTATGGAGACGGACACCCGTAATCCCAGCCAGCACTTGAGGAGGCTCAAGGTCCTCTTCCTCTACATAGTGAGTTTGGAGCTAGTCTGGGCTACGCAGTGTGACCCTGTCTCAAAGAGAAAATAAAGAAATTTGCTGCCTGCAAAACAGTATTGCAGTGTGGCAGTGTCCTGTTTGTGGCACTCCCTGGTTGAAAAAGGTCCCTCTCCTTCACCTTGTGTCTGAGAGGTTTCTGTATGGGTGTGCTGTGGTGTGATCACAATGACTAAGCTGCTTGCGTGTGTGTTTCTCAGAACAGGTCCCGGTGCTAAGGAGGCAGGACTGTGTAGCTTGGGTTATGGTTAGGAGCAGTCTGGAGATAGTGGAGGAGATGTGGCAGTTACGTCGGCTCTGATGAGAGCTGATGGCACTTTGAACCCTCGGCAGGGTGGAGCCCTCAACCTCCCCATCCCCTTCCCTCCCCTAAAGATCGCTGAGTCAGCTGGCCCCTGGCTCTTTCCTGGAAGTCCTGACATCTCCTGTTGCTAGGGCGGAAAGGGACTGAGGCCTCTGAAGCGGGGAAGAACGGCCTACTGGCTCAGGCCCTGGCTGTATGAAGGTCCTTTAGGCGTTGTCCCAGGTTACTAGGGAAATGTGAGTTGGGTGCAGACCCTGCCCACCTTGGGAAGGTTGAGAGCAGGGTCAAGTTTGCATCCTGGAGTGAGGCACCTGCTGGGGCAGTCCTGGAAATATGTGGGGCTTAAACAACCTGCTGGGTGGATTAACTCTGTGTTGGCTGCTGCCGGGTAAGTGTGCTGACTGCATGAATGAATGCATGCACGCGTGCATGAATGAATGAAGGAGGAAAACCGCCCTGCCTAGAAAGTCCTTGGGGAAATCCCAGGGTAGTGGTTCTCAGTCTGTGGGTCTCGACACCTTTGGCAAACTTATATTTTCAAAGATATCTACGTTACAATTCGCAAAATTGCAGTTATGGAGTAGCAACGAGAATAACGTTACGGTTGGGGGTCACCACGGCATGGGGCACTGTATGAAAGGGTCTCAGCCTTAGGGAGGTTGAGAACCACTGTCCTGGAAGCCGAGAGTCTTGTGGAATGATCTGCCTCCTAGCCAAAGAGAGAGAGAGCCTGTTGGAAGGAAGGCCTGTTATTTTTGGCACCATCTGACTCAGGCTCAACTTGATCTTTGAACTGGACTCCTCAGGGCCTGAGACTTTCAAAGGTCAGAGAAAGCCCCTGTGAGCCTGAGGTCACAGTGGGCCTCTGCGGCCAGGGAAGGAGGAGGAGGGTGAGTGGATTTCTGTGTCTGGCATCAGCTCTGGGGGGCTGGCAGGGAAGAGAGGCCTGGTGTGGGTAGGGTATGTGCTGACTTTCTCTTACTGGAGCTGGATCTTTCCTGAAAGTGATCCTGGTGGTGGTGGTGGGGTCTTTGGGGACTCCTTGGCCCTGGTAAGTCTATCCAGCGCCACTGGGTGAGGGATGGCTGGCATGGTCACACACAGCTGGAGGTGACCTTTGAAGGTACGCTGTAGTGTTCTAGCTTCTGTGCTGAGGAGACAGGCTCCCCGCTCCGCAGAGGAGGAGGTGAATTGATTTTGACTGGAAGGGGGCGTTGGCTTTGACTTATCTGCCTCCAGGAACGGCAGTGTCCAATATAGTGGGTGATTGGGGAAGGCCTGGAGCCCCGCTAGATCTGGAACCATGGAATAGATTTTTACCTCCCCTCTGTCAGGCCGTAGAAACAGCGGCCGCCACTCTCCCTGTTCCCAGGACTACAGGAGGAGGGGATGTGGTGGATTTCGCCAGCTTTGCTTTCTTTTAGCTGTCTGGTGTCTGTTGTAACCCCACGGGCCTCACTCTTGCACTGGAACGGAAGGCTGATGGGAGGCAGGACTGGGCGTGAGGCAGCCTCTGTCTTATCCTACCTACTCTTCTTCTGGCCAGACAAGGGTGGGACCAAGGAATGTGACTTGGCCTCTGGGTGTGACTGTGGGGAGGAGAACAGACACCCTCTCCTCCCTGCCTTCAGCTAGGTGCTTGGCTTCCCACCTCTTCCACATCTTGCCAGCAAATGCACCCCTTCCCCCCCCCCCCCTAATCCCCCAGGCCTCTTTCTGCCTTTACCCCACCTCTCTGCTCTTCCCTCTGGGCCATACCCACCACACATCAGTTCGCTTTCTCCTCTCTCCAGGCCTCCCTGGCTAGACCTGTGGGCCTTCACGCTCCTTCCCATGAAAAAAGGAGAAACACGTGGCCCTTCTTTCCTAGCCTGGCCACTCTGTGCTGATGAGCATGGTTATAGTGACAGAGGACCAGCCAGTGGCTTTGCTCTGAACCCAGATAGAAGGACACACAGAGACCTCTTCATCTTGTCTAAGCACAGTCCAGGCCACGTTCGCCCATGCACTAGCCCTGGGAGAGGGGTTGCTTTTCTACCCAGCTGTAGCGTCACTCTCACTTCCCAACAGAACCCAGCCCAGAGCACGCTCAGCTTTCTGGACTGCCCCTCAGTCCATGCACCCCAGGCACATGGCTGCCTTCCTTCCCCAGCATCCTGCCCACGGGGTCTGGCGTTGTCTAGATCGGTGATTGTCAACCTTCCTAGTGCTGTGACCCCTTAATATAGTTCCTCGTGTTGTAGTGACCCCCCCCAACATAAAATTATTTCATTGCTACGTCATAAGTGTAATTTTGCCACCGTAAAGTAAATATCTGACTTGTGAACCCCAAAGGGGTCGTGGCCCACAGGTTGGGAACCATTGGTCTAGACTAAATCAGGGTGGTTTGATTTTGTTTTTGTGTTGTTTTTTAATTTCAGGCTTCAGCTAGTCATTTTCATTATAAAATGGCCAATGAGCAGGAGACTTATTCTGATGGGAGTGGCTCTCAGGGCTGGTGAGGCCTGCCCTGAGGCCTGTGCCCTCTTGGTGTGGCCAACACTGAGATGTGCTCTGAGCTGCCCTCATTTACGGAGGACGCTGAGGCCTGGGAGACGTCTTGTGTCTGGGACGTGGGAGGGCTGGCCCTTTGGCTCTGGAATGATGAACCCACTGTGCTGGCTCTGTCCTGTCCATCCTCCCCTCTCTGCAGTTGTAGACAAAGAAGGAGGTGGGGTCACCCATCAGCCGGGTCATAGGAGCCTGACACTGGTTCCCGTTCATTAAAAAATGAACTTCAGGCGACCATGCGGTTTGGTTGGCTCATTCTTGCTCAATAACTGTAGAAAGAGACTCAGAGAAGGCAAGCCTGAAGACACAGTGGTAGAACTACAATCTCTAAGTCTTAGATCCAAAGCCAGTTATCTCCCCACGCCCTCGACTCGCTTTGATTTCCGCTGTGTGGGCCAGCCCAGGCCAGGGCCACCTGTGGAGACACAGGGACTGGCGTGGTGCCTGCTGACCGGTTTGCTTTTCTCCCCTCGCTTGTTCCCAGGCTGCGCTGGAGGCACGTCTCCTCTCTGACGGTGGCCAATGAGCCCACCTTGGCATTCACACAGGGCAGCGCTGAGCGGGATGCGCTGCAGAAGGTAAGAGTGTGACAGGGTGTCCCCTAGGGTGTGTGGGGCATGCCACAGGGAGAGGCAGGAAGTTTTCGTCCCTATTCTGTCTCTCTCCCCAGGCTCTGAAGGACCTGAAGGGCCGGACAGAAGCGATCCCCTGTGTTGTCGGGGACGAGGAGGTGTGGACGTCAGATGTGCAGTACCAGCTGTCGGTAGGTCTGACGGGGGAGGGCTTCCCTGTGGAAGCTCACAGGCCCGGGGCTGTGCTCTCTGCTTTAGGGGTCATCGTCCCCTCCCAGAGATTGAATCCCTTGGGTGCCTAAAACTTCTAGACTCAAAGGGTACCATGCCTAGCCCACTCCCGTGTCCCGTCAGAAGCCGGGAGCCTGGGAAGAGTGTGTGGACCTCTGGTGGCTTCTTCCTATAGGACAGGTGCAGGCTGGGGCTGGAGAGCTGGGTTCAGCTCTCTGGAAACCAGCATGGCCCTCAGTGGACCAGGAGCTTCACAGGGCAGACAGTCAGGGGCAGGAAGAGTGATAAGAGCACCATGTGCTGGATCCAGTTTGAGAGAACCAACCCGTCTCTGTGTGCTCCCATTAGCTTTGTGCCTCTGAGCCCAGGGCACCCGTGGAGGCCAGAGGATAGCTTTGGGGTGGGTTCCCTCTCTCCATCTTTATATGGGGTCTGGGGATTGGATCCACGTCACTAAACTTGAGTGGCAAGCGTCTTTGCTCACCAAGCTGCCTCACGGGCCTGTTGGAAGAATCTTTAACTGAGGCTGGGTGCATGGATTCTAGGCTTGGAGAGTTGGGGGGGGGGAATTAGGGGGGAGATGCCATGGCCTGGTGCCGTAGGTCGATGGGCTAGGATTCAGGCATGTCTGACTGACCACAGAGGCTACGCTTTCCCTGAAAGGCAGAGTGATCTGTGGGCTTGGCCTTCCTTCCTTATGAACTGGGACGCCTCCCTCTTCTCTCCTTTCCAGCCCTTTAATCATGGACACAAGGTGGCCAAGTTCTGTTACGCAGACAAGGTGAGTCCCCAGTGACCGTGGCTGCCCTGCCAGTTATGAGTCCACCTCACTATCCTTTCTCCTTGAGCCCGGAGAGTGTCTGGGCTGAGTCTGCAACAGAACTAGATAGGTACGGGTTAACCTGAGCTGGCAGAGACTGAGAGAGAGAGCCTGTGGGATGGGCTGAAGGCTGGTGCCATATGGTAATGAGGGCTGGTGGGGTCGGGGTCATCTGCAGCCAGTGTGTGAGTCAAGCTGTGGTCTAACCGAGAAGCTGGAGTGTCACGGGTCCCAAGGATGTGGTACCTCCTTAGTTAGACCCAGGGAAAAAGTGGGGTATGAACTTCCTTTTGTAGTAGCTGACTAACTAACCTGGCAGGAGCCTCCAACCTCAATGACAGCAGGGCAGGCTGTCTGTAGCTGTGTGGCCAGGGCTGGACAGCCTTCTGCTGGTAGCTAGTGCCCTTCCTCCGTTCCCTGCTGTGTAAGGCGGAAGGCAGCCCTGTACCTCTCTCTCCAGGCCTTGCTCAACAAAGCCATAGAAGCTGCCTTGGCTGCCAGGAAAGAGTGGGACCTGAAGCCTGTGGCAGACCGGGCCCAGATCTTCCTGAAGGCGGCGGATATGCTGAGCGGTCCACGGAGGGCTGAAGTCCTTGCCAAGACCATGGTGGGACAGGTGAGGGTTGACAGGGCTGGTCATGCTGTCATACTCCATTCCTGTCACTAAGATGTTAGCTGAACACTGTCTGTGTGCCAGGAGCCGTTGGAGACTTGGATATGTTCCCCAGAAACAAGGCAGAGGGGTTGGGAGGTAACATGGGTTACCAGGTTAGGCAGACTGTGCTGAGTCCATGTGGCCTGCCGTGGACTCAGCAGGAGCCTGTGGGAAGGACAGGCCACCTCTGGCTCTGCCCAGTGTCCCCTGCCTAGATAGGAGTCTGACCAGCTGCTCCTGCTCAAGCCTGTCCTCCGCTTACGGGCCTCCTGGCATTCCAGGCCCGGAAGGGCCACTCTGCTCCGCCCTGGAGCATTCTGTTTCTTGTCAGTTACAGTTAAAGCTCAGGTAGCAGCCGGGTGTTCAGTGTAGATATTTACTGTGCGAGCAGGACATGTCTTGCCTGATTTTTCTCTAAGTTGTCAAAGGAGTCTCCTGAGGAATGGGCTTGTCTTGTGAGCAGTGCACTGCCCTGAGGAAGGAACCAGGGAGAGGGGCTCATTCTGGCTTAAGGAACCGCTCTTGAATTCCTAAGAATTAAGAGAAGCCCCAGGCTGCCTGTTGAGTCCTGTCCGTCTCCATGGTGAGAGCGCCCTCTGCTGTTTGGAGGCGGGATGACCTCTCCCCACCTTCCTTTCAGCTTTGCCCTTGTGTTAGGAAGTGGCATTGTCAGGAAGGTAGACGCACTAGGATGTCACAAGGGGATCCCTTTTCATCTGACCTGCGGTTCAAAGGATTCTAGGCAGCACTCTGCAGGTCTTTGGCTCCTAGGCTCCTCACACGAGTGGGATGGCAGAATTATGAGCCTCTATGTGCCTCTGCAAGATGGTCGCGAGGTGATTTTCAGCCAGAGTGTACAAGTGAGGAGGTTCAAATGCCTGAGGCAGAATCGGGTCCTTTCCCTTCTGGGGGCTGGCTCTGGCCTGTCTGGTGTCTTTGAACCTGGGCCGCCCTCCTAACAGGGCAAGACAGTGATCCAAGCGGAGATCGACGCTGCAGCCGAGCTCATCGACTTCTTCCGGTTCAACGCCAAGTTTGCCATAGAACTAGAGGGGGACCAGCCCATCAGCGTGCCACCCAGCACCAACCGCGTGGTGTACCGGGGGCTGGAGGTACCGCAGGGCCGGTGGTGAGCCTCGGGGCCTGCTGGGAACCTTGAGCTCCACCTCACCGTCTCCCTCTTGCTCAGGGCTTCGTGGCCGCCATCTCACCCTTCAACTTCACTGCCATTGGAGGCAACCTGGCAGGTGCACCGGCCTTAATGGTAAGGCCCTGGGACTGTATCAGGGACTTAATTTGTCAAAGCTTCCCAGCTAGTAAACAGTGGAACAGATTGGGATTTGGAGGCGGGATGTCTTGGGCCTTGGGCTCTGAAATAAAAGCCGCAGGCTCCGCTGCCATTGTTGGTTGAAGGTGCCTGAGCCCGTGGGAACTCCCAGTCTGCTGTGGAGGGTAACAACAGCCCGGCAGGTAGAGAGCTGGTTGGTCCAGCTGCCTGGACGTTAGTCAGGGCATGTGTGTCCTGTGTGCATACACGGGGACAGCCCCGTGCGTCATGGAACGGGCCCTCCCGGTGCCTGTGATGGTGCACGCGCCCTGACCCAGCCCACGTGCAAAAAGTCTGTGAGTGCTTGCTCAGCCACACCCGGGAGCGGCCCAGAACACCGAGAACAGCTCTAGCCTGGAGTGAGGGCAGGGCTCCGCCCAGGCTTGCAGCGAAAGGGAGCTCAGGGAGGAGTCAGGTGAAGACTGGGGCCTCCATGGCGGGACAGGGTGGGCCTCTGGAGAGCAGTGGACATTACATGAGTGGGGCACATGGGTCGCAGTAGTTCCAGGCAGGGGTGACCGTGTGGCAGGTGCAGTGGGGTACATGGTATGTTATCCCACCGCCTGTGTGTCACGTTGACACCTCTATGACAGGGCAACGTGGTCCTGTGGAAGCCCAGTGACACTGCCATGCTGGCTTGCTACGCTGTCTACCGCATCCTCCGGGAGGCCGGCTTGCCCCCCAACATAATCCAGTTTGTTCCAGCCGATGGGCCAACATTCGGGGACACGATCACCAGCTCAGAGCACCTCTGTGGCATCAACTTCACAGGCAGTGTGCCGTGAGTGCCGGGGGTGTGGGTGGGGCTCTTTTCACCCCTCATGAACGTGAATGGCGAGAGTGGTAGGTTGCCGTCTTGTTGAATATTTGAATATTTGAAGGATGGAAAAGGGGAGGTCTGTGTGGGCTGGAAACACAGCCTGTGGCTCACAGCAGCCTTCTACCACAGCGGGCATGAACGGCTGAGCCAGAAACAGCATGTATGGGGCCTGCTTCTCGGAGAAGGCACCCAGGTGGCAGATTGGCTAGACAGGGTTATAGGAAGTCTCCTTCCTATAGGACACTAGGGGTCCCTGCAGGCTAAGCCTATGATGCACTGGAAGGCATGTCCCCTGGGTCTGGAGGATGGAGTTGGGCACAGTCTGCACCAGGCATCTGCACCAGGCTTAATGATCCAGCAGGTGTCTTCCAACTCCTGAAGCTCAGGGCTCCGGGCCAAGGCTGGAAATAAGTGATCAATGAGGTTGAGGTCCCCTTCTCCCCATCCCCCACCCTGCCTCCCTTGGTCCCACCTCTCAGATATTTAGCCCAGGGGCTCCTAGGAGCCTTTTGAATCTGCAGAAGCGTCTGGGCTGTGTGCTGAAGGTAGCAGGAGACCCACAAGGTTCTAGGGTATGGTGTAAGCACAGTTCTGTTTCAGGCTGGGGTGGTACATTGGACCTAAGAGTGACTGGCTTTATTTTCTTAGATTCCTAGCAGCCGTGTCTCAGCCATGTGTAATTGGGACAGGGTGCGTGCTCTGGTCCCGCTGAGCCTGCATGTCTCATGGTACCATTAGCTGGAGATGGACAACACTTTCTAGCCCCTGCCTCCAAGTCCCACTCCATTTCCAGGGTCTGTCTATCCTGGGTCTGTCCATCACTGGGCCTTCTCCCCCTGTGTGGGCACTCTATCCTAGGATCTGGCTGGAGCTGCTCCAGAAGGCCTGGTCAGGAGGTTGTAGACTCCAGGGACTGGGATAATGGCCACGGACCACACAGGGCTACCTTGTGGTCAGAACCTAGGGCAGAGTACATGAGAACCTAGGGCAGCATGGTGAGCTGGCGGCAGTCTGCAGGGCTGGGGTCTGGTCCGAGATGTTCTGGCCTTGGCAGAGAGGGCGTCATTCATTGGGAGTGATGATATCAGGGTGTGCAGGCATGGTGGAAGTTGAGTCATGTGTAGGTCATTGACAGAGGAGCCTTCTGGGTCTCTGGGTAGAGTTGGCTGGGACAGCCCGGTGTCCCATTTTGCATCTTTAGCTCTTGCCCTCTTACCGTGGGAGGGGGTACCTACAGCGTCTTCTCTGTACCTTCTCGTCCTGGATCGCTAGTGTGGGTAGCAGCTTGAAGAGTGCTGACGAGGCCTTTTCCCCAGAAGCCTGCCCTGCCAGTGCTCAGTGGGCCCACCCCTAACTCGCCCCCCACCCCACTGCCACCCACATACACACCGTTTGCCACGCTTGGGCAAGCTGCTAGGCCGAAGGTAGGAAAGTCATAAATTACCGTTAGCTGCTGTGGCTGGGTGATTAGCATTTTTATTGTTTTGTGGTGCAAAGGTTGGTCACAGTGATGCCTGGGGAGGAAGCTGTGTCCCGAGGGCGGCAGGTTGGGGCGCGGCCTGAGCTGTTGGTGTGGTTCCTCAGGCCAGGCGCTGGGCCAGCATTCCCCTCCCCCCCCAATAGCCACAGGGGTGTATATTTCTTGTCAGGGACTACAGTGTGCCCAGCGTGACCCTAAGTTCCGACTCAAACCTGAATCCCTGCACGTGGGGTTCATTCTTGTATAAAATTGGAGGCTCAGTGACAGTAAGTCATGAAGCTAAGACTGCGCAGCCCTGTGTCAGAGCCAGGGCCAGAACTGTCTGTTTTCACATCTGGGCCTTCTGTGTGCCCCCCACCACAGCTGCCACTATCCTCTTAATTCCTCCTGCTCCTGCGGTGACCCCTGCCCACGTTCCCCAGGACTTTCTAGTGCCCCTTCCTAGTGAGGCTTCTTGACACTCGCTCTACTCTTTGGTTCCAGCACCTTCAAACGCCTGTGGAAGCAGGTAGCCCAGAATCTGGACCGGTACCACACCTTCCCACGCCTGGCTGGAGGTAAGCCCCACCCCTCACAGGGACCTACCTCTTCATTCCCCCTTCCTGGGCCATTATGAGAGAGCAGGAGATCGAGGGGGTGGCCAGGATTTTCTTGGGAGCCAGGATGCTGGAAGCCAACCTTGGGGACTCCTCCATCAGCCTCTGCAGCGGCCCCCTCAGGAACCACGTATGAACATAGAACATTGAATCATGCCTTTTGGGGGAACTGAAAGCTGCGTTCCTTTAGGCTTGTGTTAGTCAGTGGCACACTCGCCTGGGGGCTGCCTTCTATGAGCAGGGGAGCCTGTTTGTGGGTTTGTATGGAGGCCTGGAGGGCAGCAGAGCTAACTCATGGACTGTGGTGACTCCTACTGAGAAACCATTCTGTGATCCCCAAAATGTGATACACACGTGAGGCAAAGCCAGTGGAGTCAAACAGGGTTTCTCAGAGCTTTCAGTATACTGTTTATGTACTGGGCGAGCATAACTGGCCATGCCATGTTTCCCAAACTCCCTGGGGCACAGGACCCCATTTTGCAAAGTCCCCAGGGACCAAGAGCCGTAGCACACGCTTTGGGAGGGTGCTAAGATCTCAAGGGAATTTCTCCGTGGGGCACACACGACGGTAGAAGCCGGGACCGGTGTGGGACTGTGGGTTAGTGTGGGTGGTGGCTCAGGCCACAGCCAGTCATGTCCTGCCTGCACCCTGTGCTCTGTAGAGTGTGGCGGGAAGAATTTCCATTTTGTGCACAGCTCAGCCAACGTGGACAGCGTGGTGAGCGGGACGCTGCGCTCGGCCTTTGAGTATGGCGGCCAGAAGTGCTCAGCCTGCTCGCGCCTCTACGTGCCGCAGTCGCTGTGGCCACAGATCAAAGGGCGACTGCTGGAGGAGCACAGCAGGATCAAAGTGGGCGATGTGAGTGGCACCTCTGCTGCGCCCAGCAGGTGGCTGATGGGATTGGGCTGCCTCGCTCTCCCCAGCTCTTTGAGTGCCTCCCCCGGGCTCTCTCTGCCTCTCTGAGGTTGGGTCCTTCCCCAGGGGCTCTGTGCATGCGGGGTGGGCTGTGGGGAAGGGGCTCCCTTTGTCTCTGGCCTGCAGTGTCTCATCTCTCTCTTCCTTGTCCCCAGCCTGCAGAGGACTTTGGGGCCTTCTTCTCTGCAGTGATTGATGCCAAGGTAGGGGTGTGGGATGCAGTGCATTCTGGGGGAGGGGCGCTGGGTGCAGATCTAGGACAGAGAGGGGCAGGTTGGTCACTGTGGCTTGTAACCAGATATCCGGTTCCCTGGCCTTGAAGAGGGCAGGGTCATCCGTGGTGGAAGGCTGCTCATGTCTGCACACCCTGCAAGCAGGCTCAGCAAGCCCCTAAAGTGCGTGTGTGTGCACACACTCACGCATGCGCGCGTACAAGCAGGTTCATGTGTGCACTTGAGCCCAGCTCTGGAACCATTGTGGGTAGGCCACAAAAAACACATCTCTGCAGCCACGTGCAGGTAATCATAGCTAACTATGTGCTTAAATGTAAACACATAGTTATGTATGCACCTTTTCTATATGTTTATCTCCAAGTGCGTTTATATGTAAGGACACCTGGTTTTCATCATGCATGTGGGTGCCCCCACACACTACATAACACATGCTTATGTGTGTATACACAGATTCCACATACACAGCATACACACACACCATATACACACATACACAACATACATACCATACACATACAACTCAGACAAAGACACACACGCTATGTATACACACATACACACACAAGCATGTACTCTTCCCTGTGTCCCTGCTTTGGCGTTAGCCAGGCCTTGTTCTTAACCTTCAGTGGCCCCAACCCTGCTCCCCTTTCCAGAACTCAGGCCCTTTAGGCAGAGGTGTTTTGGGGTGAGCCTTGGAGGGGGGCAGCTGTCTCTGATGCTTCTGCTCACCTGCCCTAGGCCTTCGCCCGCATCAAGAAATGGCTGGAGCATGCGCGTTCCTCGCCCAGCCTCAGCGTCCTGGCGGGGGGTCGGTGTGATGAGACGGTGGGTTATTATGTGGAGCCGTGCATCATCGAGAGCAAGGACCCGCAGGAGCCCATCATGAAGGAGGTGACCTCTTTGTGCTGCTTTCTAACTGCTATCCGGTTTCAGGCTTGAGGAGGGGTGGCCGGGCAGGAACACCTCACAGCTGGGGCGAGCTCAGAGCTCGGGCCTGTCCAAGACAAGTGTGCTGGCTGTGGCCCGGCTCCCCATTGCCACAGCTCCCACAGCCACTGTGGGCGCCCCAGACCCTTGGTGAGAGAGGGGCCTTAGCACTTGCTGTTGAGCAAGCATCCTGCTCCCCAGGGCCTGGCTGCCTTACTTTCCAGGTGAGGGCGTGGCAGAAAGTTCTGGATCTTCTGCCAAACGGTAGGGATGCCGGGCACACAGAGACCGGAGGGAACCTGGAGGGACCAGCCCCCCTCTGTCCCTGATGAGGGCTGTTGTGTGGGCTGAGACCTGGGATGGTGGCCAGGGCGGCCAGAGGGGGACCTCGCAGGGGCAAACCCCTCTCTCCCGCTCCCAGGAGATCTTCGGTCCCGTGCTGACGGTGTATGTGTACCCTGACGACAAGTACAGGGAGACGCTGCAGCTGGTTGACAGCACCACCAGTTACGGCCTCACGGGGGCAGTGTTCGCCCAGGATAAGTGAGTGGCCTCACCCTGCCCGCATCGCTGGTGTGCCCGTCCTGGCCAGTTCAGCACCATCCCAGCCGCAGTTCATGCGAATCCCACCTCTGCCTTCCCTCTTTGCTCTCCCTCAGTCCTCTCAGCTTACACCTACAGGCAGGTGGCCCCACGCAGGGGCACACAGCAGTCCGGTCTGTTAGAGCCAGGTGTCAGGAACCCCCGGGGACCACCGTGTCTCTGCCTGGGAGCTCATGGCCAACCTGTTCGGGGCCCTGCTGAGCTAGGTGACCACCCTGCTCCATGCTCTGGCCACCTGCTGCAGTGAAGGCAGATCTAACGTGGGTCCCGGGATGCTTGCCTTGGGCTTTTGCATTTTCCTTCCTCCTTGGCCCTGTAGCCACTGTGTCTGGGTCAGAAAGGTAGCGGTGATACTGGAGCCTGGGAGGAAACATGGGGTCTGGGTGTTTGCTCAGCTTCAGTGAAATGGCTGAGTTAAATTGGGGACCCTCCCCTGCCACACACATACACACACAACTGTGGCCTGACCCTCTGTGCTCTCCACTCAGGCCTCCCAGTGGCGCCCCAGGAGGCGAGTGATCGGATCTCCTTCTCAGGGGAGAAGCTGAGCCTTGGAGACTAATTTGTCCAGGGCCACCCTAGCAGCTGGCCAGTATCCTGTTCCTACAAGGGCTGCTTGCTTAGGTGGAAGGTCCAGTGTGGGCCGCATGGGGGACTGGAGGCCAGATGTGGCCTGGCAGCCCCTGTGGTCACCACCCTGTCTGTTCACCTAGAGCGGTTGTCCAGGAAGCCACGCAGATGCTGAGGAACGCTGCTGGCAACTTCTACATCAATGACAAGTCTACTGGGTCTGTGGTGGGCCAGCAGCCCTTCGGGGGCGCCCGGGCCTCTGGTGAGTGGGAGGCGAGACCTGGTCGGAGGCCTGGCCATTACCTCAGAGGGTGTGAGTAGGAACAGCATGGCGCACTGTGGGGAGGTGTGAATATTCAAACACAGGGACCTTTCAGGAGCTTTCAAAGCCAGGAGGCTATTCTTCTGTTGTTCGCTGGAGGAAACTGAGGCATGGGGGAGGGCTGTGGGCGTCAGTTTCAGTGCCCACACTTCTGCCACCAGGCCAAAGCTCACCTAAATCCAGTGCTGTGTGGGTCATAAGAGGAGAAGCCTGGGCCCAGGATGGGCCATGATTTGCCAGCAGCTATTTGCCCCCCTACCCCCAGCAGCAGCCAGGGCCAGAACACATGCTAACAAAGAATGGGATATTTTACTCATGCATGCAGCAGGTGGCAGTTAAGGCAGCCAATCTGTCTCTTCAGATGTCTGTCTTTTGTGTGTGTGTGTGTGTGTGACTAAAAGCATCCAAAGCTCCCTTTCTTCTAGGCCTTTGAAATACGTGGCATAACTGTTACTCACAGTCACCCTAAGGTGCGGACTTACTCCCAACTTAGCTCAGTGTCCTGTCCCGTCCGTCCGTCCCCCTTCCTTCCCCCCCTTCCGCTGTCACCACCACACTTGCCCTCCCTCTCTGCAATTCCCAGCCTCTAGTAATCATCTTATTGCCAGCTTCTGTGAGATCAGCTCTTTCGGGGCCCCCAAGAACGAGGGCGCACCATTCTCATCTCTCTGAGCCTGGCTTCTTCCATACAGCGCATTGATTCCTACTTCCCTTCTCGTGACTGAGTGATACCGCCACAACCTGTATTACCACACTTTTTTTTTTTTTTTTTTCCCAACCGATCCTCAGTCAATGGGACCTTTGGTTGTTCTGTTCTCTTGGCAGTTGTGAGTGGAGTGGAAGTGAACGTTGACGCGCAGGTGTCTTTTCAGGATGCCAGTTTCACTCTCTTCCTGTCTAAATATGCAGCAGGGATTGTTGTCATTTTTTAAGAGAGCAATTTCCAAAGCATTTCCCATGATTCTGTACTAACTCGCCTCGCCTGTACCAGGCTTTCCTTTTCTCCACGTCCTCCTCTGTTTGCCTGCGTGAGTGCGTGAGTATGTATGTGTGTGACTAGTTTCTACGTTGCCCTCATTTCTGCATGCTCTGCCCTTCACGAAGTGGGGTTTTTACAGTCCCTCCAATACAATACTCCTCTCCCTTTGTGCCCATTGATACTCACTTCCTCTGCTTTTGTGTTCTGTTATCGTTTGCCTGTGTATTTACAGCTATTGTTTTCTGTTTCTGGCTTAACTGCTTTCTCGTTTATAACCTCCCTCTCGCCTGCATCTCCACTTTTAGTTTAGAGTGTGTTTTCATCTGCTGTGAGCTACTGCTGTGTCTTTAGGAATGTATTTACATCTCTTCCCATGTCCTCAGGGGTAAAGTGAGTTTCCTGTAGGCAATGTATAATTGGGTCTTGTTTACTTATTTACTTAAAATAAGCAATTTTTTATTGTTGGGTATGATGGCACATGCCTGTAATGCCAGCTCTTGGAAGGGCCTTATAACATAGCCCTAGCTGCCCTGGAACTTGCTTTGTAGACCAGGTTGGCCCTGAATCCACATAGTTCCACTTGACTCTGCCTCCCAAATGCTGGGATTAAAGGTGTGCACATTATTTTTAGATAATTAAAAAAAACAACTCTGTGTATGTATGTGAGTAACAGGCCATTGTATGTAGGTACCTGAAGAATCCAGAAGATGGTGTCAGATCCCCTGAAGCTGGAGTTAGTGGGGGTTGTGAGCCACTTTATATGGTGTCGGGAACCAACTTCTGGGAGACCAGGAAGAACTCTTAACTGCAGAGCTCTCTCTCTCTCTCTCCAGCCTGAGTCTTGTTTTTATTTAGTTATTTTATTTTTAAACTCTTTTCACTCACTGTGACTTTTAATTGCAGAATTTAACCCATTTACATTTAAGCTGATTATTGATAGGTAAGGCCTGGCTTTTAGTTTTATTATAATTCTTCCTTTCTTTGTGGTCAAGTGATTCACTCAAGTACTGTGTTTGAATTCCTGTTTGGGGCTGTCTATGTGTCCCTTATTTCTCAGGAACTGCTTGGCCGGGCAGTGTTGATTTTGGTTGGTGTTTTAACATTTTGGTACTGTGAGCCTCAGCCTCTCACCTTCCCTCCAGCCACGTACACGTGGCCACTGAATGTGCTCATCAAGCCCTGAGTCTGTGAATGTGTTTAGTGCCTACTTCACCAAGCCTCTCAGGAGGGTGTGTTCTAGACACCCTTAGTCCCTCTACTGCCCCATCCATCACGATAGGTCTCCCCACCCCACCTCTCTCCGCTGCTGAGAACCACTGTGCACTGTCTTTTCCACAGGGACCAATGACAAACCAGGAGGTCCCCACTACGTCCTGCGCTGGACATCACCCCAGGTCATCAAGGAGACTCATAAGCCCCTGGGGGACTGGCAGTACTCCTACATGAAGTGAGCCCTGCCCGGCACCTGTGCCAGCCACTTGGCTGTCCACCCGGATGGCCAACATCTCTGCACTGACCCACTGCTCCCCACTAGCCCCTCCTGGATTCTCTTACAGCTGAGCTTGACCCTGACCTGGCCACTGGGCTTGTATCCTGATGCTTCCTTTTCCCTGGAGTCAGGTGCTCAGGCTTTGGCTTTGTGTCAGACTGTGGAGGGGCAGCCAGTTCACCCAGAAATCTCATCCACTGTGGAACACCCTGGTGCCTGGAAGGTTCTTCACCTGTCTGCTTCACTGTCTTCATCCTGGGCCCGGTGGCTCAGAGGCCCTCAGAGACGGAGAAAGAGATGCTCTCAGGAACTTGTGGGGAAAGGAGACAGCTCCGGTGCCTGTAATCTTGTCACTCAAAGACTCCTGACCTTGGCCTTGACCCCTCCACATGTCCACATGACCTCAGCCAGATGGCTGCAGGGGTACCAACTGGCTTTGCTCCCTGGTCTGTGCCGGATCCTCCTGCAGGAACTTGTGCCCAGCTGTATGCCTTAGACCCGTGTGCCTTCTTCCAGGGTGTCTGAGGGTCCTTGAGCCTTCCTCCCTCCTGGCCACCTGCTGGGAGTGTCCAGTGGTCATCCCATACAGGCTAATTTTGGGAAACCTCCATGTGGGCCTCCATTCCATGCAGTTGTCCGATGCAGCCAGCCCAGGGGTGGTCAGTGTGAGCTCCTGCTTGGGTCCCGGATCATCTGATGTTGTTTCTAGTGGCTTGAGAGCGTGCAGGGTTCCCCTTCAAGGACATTTGCCAAGGACCCACGTGGAGCTGGCATGGGTGTCTCCAAGGGCCACCCTCTCTCACACTCAGGAGCAGGTACCAGGTCAGCTCTATGCTGTTTCCTCTTGGGGGTCTATGTCGTTTCCCACTGGGCTACAAGAGTCCCCATTCCCACTGGTTCTATACTGTGAGGGGATGGGGCACACTATGGCCACCCAGGAAAATATCTAATCAAAGCGGTGGTCCTTGGGAGGGATGTGAGGGGCTGGGTGGCTTCTCTTTCCAACTCTAACGCATTGCCAACATCTTGTCACATGATGCCCTTGGCAGGACTGAGGGGCCTCTGAGGCTGGGGGGTAGCAACTCTAAAGCCCAATGGCTAGGTTTAACTGTGGCTTTCTGTCTGCCACGAAGGAGGTCTCCAATAAGTTACGTGAATTTTCCAACCTTTCATCTCTAAAATGGTGATGATCCCATCGCATACGAGGAGGATCAAGGGAGCAGATCCATGAGGATTTTGGACAGTGTGAGACAGATACTCAAAAATGTTACCTGTTTTTACTCATTGTTTTGCCACCACCACCGTGTTCTCTGGCAGTGAATTTTATGTGTCAGTTTTGCTGGACCGCGGTCCCCAGAGACCTGGTCAACCACTGTGGAAGTTTCTATGAAGGTGGTTTTTGAATGAGAGTTCAGCTTAAAGAGGTGGGCTCTTGAGTTTTTATTGAGTGAGTGAGTGAGTGAGTGTGTGTGTGTGTGTGTGTGCGCGCGTGTGTACAGATGCCTACAGAGGCCAGAATGGGAGGATTGATAGTCGCTGCTTGTGATGCAGACATTTGTGAGCTGTGCAATGTGGGTGCTTAGATCCAAATTCTAGTTTCCTGATAGAGCAGTAACTGCTTTTAACCAAAGAGCCATCTTTCCATCCCCGATGTGTTTGTTTTGAGACAGTCTTGCAATGTAGCTCAGTTTAGCCTTGAATCTAAGTGTCTAGACCTGAGTGCTGGATTTACAGGTGTTTATCTCCATATCTGGCTTTAAGAAGCACAGCAGGAAGCCGGGTAGTGGTGGTGACACATGCCTTTAATTCCAGAACTAGAGAGGCAGAGGCAGGTGGATCTCTGAGTTTGAGTTCAGCCTGGTCTACAGAGTGAGTTGGACAGCCAGGGCTACACAGGGAAACCCTGTCTCAAAAACAAACAAACAAAAAACGGATTTTTTAATAGTGTGAGTGGTCCTCGTCTGATTGTTGAATGTTTAAGTTGAACAGAGGATGAGCCCATTCTGGTGAGAAATTTGCCAGCACACTGCCTCCTGGAGGAACTCCTTCCTGGCTTTCTGTCCTTCCCACCCTCTCTCTGCACCTCTGTTCATACCCACATCTTTCCCTTTCTGGATTCTGTGTCCCTGCAGAACCTTGGCTAATACACATGTCAAGGACTCTGCCTCTCCTTACCCTCGGCCCCATTAACTTTATACGGATGGGGAAACTGAGGCAGAGCTGACGTGGCAGTTCCCAGGAGAGTGGGATGTGAACCGGGACCTGTCTGCTGCACTCCTGTGTTTACACCCAGTGGTGTGCCACCTTGGGGAGACGCACTCAAGTGGCCCTCGAACAACCACCACTCCCTGCAGGAAAGAAGGGGGGCTGTGGCCATGGACAAAGCTCTGGGCTCAAGCTAATTGGCCACAGTGGCTCCCTTTAGGCAGTAGTAACATGGGTGCCCTGGCTGCGGCTCAAAGAAGCGAAGGATGGCATTTATATCTCTTTTGTTTTTGAATGGACGGTGTCAGCTACCCAGGGGCATACCCGGTAGCTTTTACAGTCCTCCTGATGGAGCCTGGATATGACAGAGAATTACTGAGCCACGCCCCCAGTCCTCTGGGAGCTGCTCTCTTCCGGTGACCTTGCCAGGACATCATTTGGATTCTGTGGCAGGGTCAGTGGGGGTCTGAGGTGGGGATGGTGGAAGACAGATTTGAACCCAAGTCTGGGTGCCTGTAGCCTCTATTCTTGGTGATCTGCTCCATAAGGTCAGTGGCTTCTGGGCTCCTCTGTCACTGTCTTCCCACGATGTCTCTTTTTTAACTGGCAAGGAGAGGACTCAAAGCTATGGTTCCTCCGGGCTTGAGGCTGCTGGCCCTCAGGGACATGCTCCCTGGTTGGGTTCCTGAGGCTTCTTTGCATGGTCATCACCGTCAGTCCCCATGTCCGCAGTCACCCACAGAGCCCCTTCATTTCCCTGCTGTGGCCAGGGGCCCAGCCGCAGCCCTGAGCCTGGACAGGAACCATTTGACTGTGGCCGGATGTCCCTGTTGCCACCGCTGCACGCACTGCCGCTCAGGCATGTGTTCTAAGGAAATGAGGGGCCATCTGCTGCTCCTGGACACTGGGCAACCCGGAGCCTCAGCAGGATGGGGCAGAGGAAACGGCAGGGCACACACCTGCCGTCCTCACCCACTCGTGGCTTTGTTTCCTTAGTCTGTGTATCAGCCCAGTGTCACCCCAGTGTGTTCAGATTCTAAGCCAGGCTGGCCTAGAGCAAGGCTCTGTGTCCGACACTGGATTAAGGGCGTTAGAAAATTTAGCCTTGGGCTGGCAGGATGACCCAGAGGGTAAAGGCACTTGCCACCAAGCCTCATGACCTGAGTTTTATTCCTGGGACCCACATGATAGATGGCAAGAGCCCAGTCCCGCAGCTTGTCCCCTGACCTCCATCCTATACCCCGGCACATGCATGCATGTGTGTTAGCGCACACGCAATAAATGAAGTGTGAAGAGAAAAAAATTATTTCACCCTTCATAGCATCTCAGAAAGTGTTATCTTGGTCCACTCATTGCCCTGATGAGGACACTGAAGGGACAGGAGGGTGACAGGAGACCAGTACAGCAGGAAATGACGGCCCGAGCTTCAGCACACGTCTCTGGATGCTGAGCCATGGGACACAACTGGAGCTTCTTGTTCTAGGCTGGCTGGTGGTGGGAGTCTCAGCCCTCACTCTCCAACCTCAAGTCCGATGCTTCTCAGTAGCTGGGGACCAGGCAAAACCTTAAGAAGCAAAGTTCTGGGGTGTCAGCTTGCAGAGTGGGGGGCATGATGAGTAAGGATTATTCAGCCTCAATATCTACCACCTTGGAGGGTGTACACCCAGTGGGGGTGGGGACCCAATTAGTCTAGGCCAAGGTAGCCTGTTGGGACAGCGGGGCAATTTTACCTTCCTTTCATAGATGTGAGATGGTTGGGGGGGGGGCTCTTAGATTTGGAGGGGATGGACACCAATTTGGTGGGGAGTATTGCTCTTATCCAGAAAGCACCCCAAGTCTGCGAAAGCCTCAGTACTCCACTCATTACCTCCTCAGATTTTTTAAATTTTTAAGAAAGTTATTATATATACAGTGTTTTGTCTGCATGTGTGCCTACATGCCAGAAGAGGGCACCAGATCTCATTATAGATGGTTGTGAGCCACCATGTGGTTGCTGGGAATTGAACTCAGGACCTTTGGAAGAGCAACCAGGGCTGCTCTTAACCTCTGAGCCAACTCTCTAGCCCTAGCTCTTAAGATGTTTGTTTTGTTTTTTTGGGTTTTTTTTTAAATTTATTTATTGAGACAGGGTCTCAGGTAGCCCAGGCTGGCCTCAAGCTCCCTGTCGTCGCTTGCTTTCTACTGCTGTGATAAAACACTGAGCGAAAGCAACAATCCTTTTCAGCTTGTAGGTTATAGTTCTTGGAGGGGAGATAGGGCAGAAATCCGGAAGTCACAGTGGTACTGCTTGACTGGCTTGCTATCCATGGTGTGCTCGCTTTGCTACCTCATACCATCCAGTACCCCCCGCTGAGCCTCCCAGTCAATCAAGACAATGCCTCTGGCGGTGGGGGTGGGCGGGAAGGAGCTCTTCAGTTGAGCTTGCCCTTCCCAGTTGACTCTAGCTTGTGTCGAGTTAACAGAGGCCAGCGCCCAGTAGAGCCAAGGTGCCACCTCTTGAGTGTTGGGATGCCAGCTCTGCGGCATACCCAGCCGCAAAGGGCTGTGGAGACTGAGCCCGTGGGGAACCAGTGCACACCTCCCCAGCACTTCCTGCCCAGGGTCTGAATAAGTGAGACTGACTCCCGGCCCTGCCTTGAGGAGGCCCACCCTCTGTGTCCTAAGCCAGCCCAGAGCCCAGTGTGTCCAGGAGGATAGGTGGAGAGACTGGAACTGGTCACAAGGGCACGGTGTGGAAGGTGGTGGACAAAGGAACTTGGACTACTCCAGCTCCCTCTCTCCCTGGGTTCATGGGGCAGCTCTGGACTGCATGCCAGCTGGTAGGCCTATTTTTTTTTTCTCTTGTGTGCCAAGGGAGACATCAAACCAGTGGACCAGGCTGGGCTCATTGTGCCCATGGTCAACCCCTCTGCCTTCCCTATGTGCTTTACGTGCCCACCACAGCTGTCACCTTCACAGCCAGTGGCCACACAGGTATGTGCTCAGGCAGAAGGCTGGGTGTGGCCACCTTGTGAAGATGCCTCCCAAGCCATGCAGGCCCCACTGGGCCCCACAACTGCATCCTGCTTCCTCGTCTGTTCCTTCCCGGAGCCTGGAGGCTGTCCACCTGTCCTCAGGCAGGATTGTCACTATGTAAATGTCTGTGCAAATGCTCCAATGTGGGGTGATCAGCTACACAGCAAGGCAGGGGCATCTTCGAAAGCTATTACTTCGCTGCCATGGGGCCCCGGGCAAGGACACTTCACTTGCTGTTTCTCCTGCTGCGTGCTCTGACTAAGCCAGCTGAGCTGGTAGAGAACTCTGACTTCCACCTGGCTGGGGACTACCTCCTGGGTGGTCTCTTTTCCCTCCATGCCAACGCCAAGAGCGTCTCCCACCTCAACTACCTGCAGGTGCCCAAGTGCAATGAGTGAGTCCCCATATGAAGCTATAGGTGGTGATGGGAGGGAGCTGGGAGGCAGACCCCGGGGAAGCCCGGTCCTGAGGAGGCCAGCCAGGGCCCAGAATGCACCCTGCTCGTTGCCACCCTCCCCAATCCTCAATCCAGCCTGGTAGTCCCTGGTGCCCCCAGCCCTCTGCACAATCTGTTGAAATTGTAAGAAGTTGTGTTTGTAACCCAGAGAGACCTATGTCACACCCCTGGAAAGACAGGAAGTTTAAGCTCACTAGATGAGCCATCCCCAAAGTCATCCTCAACCACTTGGGCGAATGGAGGACACCCAACCCTCCTCCCCCACCCCACAGTAAGACCATGTCAAAGCCTTGTCTGGACACCAGGCTCTGCCTTGCCAGGCAGAAGGTGGTGTTTGGGCAGCGGGCTTCGACATTTGGAGCTTTGCAGTTTCCAAGGATGTCTCTGGGGAGACAGGGAGTGCTCCCAGGCTTGGGGAGTCCTCCTTCCTCCTCTGTGAGCACCTCTCTCATCTGGGGTGACAGCACCATTTAGAGACTCAGCGCACAGGGAAGCCATCCTGCTCAGCGGGATGGGGAGCACTGGGAGGCAGGGAAGAGGGCGAGGAAAGGCTGAGTGTTGACCGTGGGAATTCACCACTTAGATGACAGTGAGGGAGATGCCATGTGGACTGGAGGAAGGTGACGGGGCACCAAGCATGGTCCTAGGTCTTCCGGTGCCTGTGATAATGATGACGAGGTCGGTAATGATAGACAGTGCCAGTGGCAGAGACATGGTGATGGCAGCAACCATGTCGCCTGCAGCAAGAATGGGGGTAGTTAAAATGGGCATAGGGGTGATGGTGGTGGTGGCTGTCGTAGTTATGATGACGGCGATGAGGTTGGTGGGTGTGATGGTAATGGTGATGGTGGTGATGGTTGCTGTGTTAGTTGTTTTAATGGTGGTGGTGTGGATGTTGATGGTATCGGTGGCGACAGTGACTGTGATGGTAGTTATAATGATGGTGTTTTGGTGATGTTGGCAGGGGTGGTGGTGATGAGGTAATGATGGTGGTGACGGTGGTGTGGTGGTAGCGATGGTGGTAACAGTGACGGTATTCCTGGTTATGCTGGTGTGTTGGTAGTGGTGATGATAGTGATGGTGGCTGTAGTGGTGGTGGCGGTGGTAGCGGTGATGACAACGCCGAAGTGGTCGTGATGGCGGTGATGGTGAAGATCACAAAGATAGGGTCACAGCGATGGCAGTGGTGTTCCTGGGATAGCGGGAGATGATGGTGACAGTGGAGATGGCAGTGAAGGAGGAGACCGTTGTAGGTATGGGTGGACAACGCTAGGGATCATGGGGACCACAGTGGCACCGGTGACAAGGATGTGGCAGATGCCAGAATGTCCCAGAGTGCTCCTTGTCAAGTTTTCTAACCGGGGGAATAGTGGTTTGCCCTATCCCGCCCTCCCTGCGGACCTCCCCCTCACAGCATGTGGCCCCGCAGGTACGACATGAAGGTGTTGGGCTACAATCTCATGCAGGCCATGCGCTTCGCTGTGGAGGAGATTAACAACCACAGCACCCTGCTTCCGGGCGTGCTGCTCGGCTACGAGATGGTGGACGTGTGCTACCTCACCAACAACATCCACCCCGCGCTCTACTTCCTGGCGCAGGAGGATTACTTCCTGCCCCTCCTCAAAGACTACAGCCAGTATATGCCCCGAGTGGTGGCCATCATCGGCCCGGACAACTCTGAGTCCACCATCACCGTGTCCAGCCTCCTCTCCTACTTCCTCATTCCGCAGGTGATGCCTGGGAGACGTGAGTGGGAGGGGCAGGGGGCAGCTTGTCCCAGGGCAGGATGCTCTTCTTCCCTGTCAGCCATGGCAGGAACATGAGCAGGAGCGGACAGCAGTTCAGGCTTAGGGCTGCCTTACTGGGACGCCTCTAGCAAATCTCTTCACCCTTCTGAGCCTCAGTTTCCCCATTTGGAAAGTGGGCAGATGAAGCTCCATCCTAGGACTGTCTGTGGGTTGAAGTATGGAGTGCTGCAGGAGTTGCCAGCAGGCAGAAGGGGTGGTCTGCAAGGCTGCCATCACCACAAAATGCGTCTTTCTTAGGAATGAGGACTAATGCACTACCAGCTTGCTCAGTCACCTAGCCCAGGGCCTGACTCATAATAGGAGGAGGGTCACGAGAGCCTGGAGCGATGGCTCAGTCGGTAAGGCCTGTCATGCAGGCCTGGGAACCTGAGTTTGGCTCTCCAGCACCCACATGAACAGCCAGGACCAGCAGTCGGGGCGGGGGCTGGGTGGAGACAGGGGTGTTCCCTGAGCTCGATGCTCAGCCAGCCTTGCCAAACTGGCGACTTCCAGGTACAGTGAGAGGCTTATCTCCAAAAACAGGGTAGAGAGGATTGAGGAAGACTTCTGGCCTCCACGCACGCGCACGTGAACACGTGTGTGCACACCCCCCAAAAGTTCTAACTGTCTGATTGCTATTATTTTCTAAATTTGGGGGTGGGTGGAGTGGGGGTGAGGTGAGACACAGGGTCTCTCTGTGTAGCCCTGGCTGGCTTGGAACTCACTCTGTAGACCAGGCTGGCACTTTGAACTCACAGAGCTCCACCTGCCTCTGCCACCGAGGTGCTGGGATTAAAGGCATCCACTGCCCCTCCAGGCATCCTTTGAGTTATTCGAATGATGTTGTCACTTGCTGAGTGGGAGAGAATACGCACAGGTGTCAGGGTACAGGTACGGAGGTCAGAGAATGGTCTGCGGGAGTCGGTCCTCTCCTTCCACTCAGTGCATTTACCTCCTCAGCCATCTCGTGAGGCTCTGGCCGATGTTAATTTGTCACCAGCCACATGGGTGAAAGTGCTCAGCCCAGCATATGTGTTGGATAGTAATTAAAGATCAGATTGGCACACAGTAGGCTGGCACAGTTATCAGAATTGCTGCTGCGGCTTTTACCTTATGAAGTACCCAGAGTGGGGTCAGATACATAGTAGGTGCAAAATATGTTAAATGTCTGGTCCAGGACTGAGTTTATCCATTTATACATGGAACAACTATTTCTTTTTTTCTTTCCCTCCCTCCCTTCCTGTCTTCCTTCCTTCCTGTCTTCCTTCCTTCCTTCCTTCCTTCCTTCCTTCCTGTCTTCCTTCCTTCCTTCCTGTCTTCCTTCCTTCCTTCCTTCCTGTCTTCCTTCCTTCCTTCCTTCCTTCCTTCCTTCCTTCCTTCCTTCCTATCTTCCTTCCTTCCTTCCTTCCTTCCTTCCTTCCTTCCTTCATTCCTTCCTCCCTTCCTCCCTTCCTCCCTTCCTCCCTTCCCTCCCTCCGTCCCTCCCTCCTTCCTTCCTTCCTTCCTTCCTTCCTTCCTTCCTTCCTTCCTTCTTTCCTTCCTTCCCTCTTTTCTTTCTTTTTCCACCTTTTGAGACCTGTGTAGCCCGGGCAGTCCTGGAACACAATAGGTGCCCTGTCAGGAGCGCAAGGTGATGAGATTGATGTGGGTCACCCAGCCGAGGCATGGCACAGAGTAGGACCTCACTCTACTAATGTGACCAGGATGATGACGGCGCAAACATAGTCCTGGGCATGTATGTGTCCTCAGACGTCACCAGGGCAACTCTCTCAGGCGGACCCCCTCCTCTAACACCTCACTCTGGCAGATCACGTACAGCGCCATCTCTGACAAGCTGAAGGACAAGCGGCGCTTCCCTGCCGTTCTGCGCACAGTGCCGAGTGCCAACCATCACATCGAGGCCATGGTGCAGCTGATGCTTCACTTCCACTGGAACTGGATTGTGGTGCTGGTGAGCAACGACAGCTACGGCCGGGAGAACAGCCACCTACTGAGCCAGCGTCTGGGCAGCACGGGTGACATCTGCATCGCCTTCCAGGAGATTCTGCCCAGACCGGAACCCGGTCAGGCCATGGGGCCCGAGGAGCAGGCCCAGCTGGACAACATCCTGGACAAGCTGTGGCGGTCCACGGCGCGCGTCGTGGTGGTGTTCTCACCGGAGCTGACCCTGCACAACTTCTTTCTCGAGGTACTTCGCCGCAACATCACGGGCGTTGTGTGGATCGCCTCCGAGTCCTGGGCTATCGACCCGGTCCTGCACAAGCTCACAGAGCTGCGCCACACAGGCACGTTCCTGGGCGTCACCACCCAGAGGGTGTTCATCCCTGGCTTCAGCGAGTTCCGGGTGCGCCGTGCCAAGTCAGGGCACCCCATGCTCAACAAGACCAACCTGAAGGCTACCTGCAACCAGGACTGTGACGCCTGCTTGAACATGACCGAGTCCTACAGCAATGTCCTCATGCTTTCGGGGGAGCGTGTGGTCTACAGCGTGTACTCGGCAGTCTACGCTGTGGCCCATGCCCTGCACAGATTCCTGCGCTGCAGCCAGGTCCACTGCACCAAGGAGACGGTCCACCCATGGCAGGTGAGGGCCTAAACTCACAGAGAACTGATTCCACTATCGCCGAGCTCAGGGTCCGGGAGGCCAGAAAACACCCCCTATCTCCAGATGCCCAGTGAGTACATGGTCTGGGTTCAAATCCCCAGCGCCCACGTAAGAAGCTGGACTTGGCTTACGTATGCCCAGAAACCCAGTGCTGGAGGTGATAGAGATGGGAGGGTCTCTGGGGTTGCTAGCTGCCAACTGTGCTCCAGGTTCAGCAACAGAGTCAGTCTCAAGAGAGGAAAAGGAGGTGGAAAGTGACAGAACAGGACCCCTGTTGTCCTCCCTGGGCTCTGTGTGGGTGCATAGGCATGAATCCTCTGTAATATGCTACACACACACACCCCAATACAACTTTGTCCTATTTCAGCCATGTGTCACCACCCCACGTCCCCAGAACCTAGTCCCACTGCTCTAAGCACTTACATTTGGAAAAGTGCTCTTCTTTGAAAGGCATTTGGCTGCCGGCTGGGTTTGGACTGAGGCCTTGGTAGCCAATGTCATTGTTCAGAGGGGTGCTGCGTTGCTTGCCACGTGCTCACGGTTGATCTTTCCCATTCGGGGGGTGGGGGGAGACTGAGGCACAGCAGGGAGGCACAGTCACAAAGCCAGCTAAGGGCAGAGCTGGGATTGCAGTTCAGCCCCCAGGCTCCTCTTAGGAGCGCGTTCTAGCTAGCACCCGTTTGGGGAGATGGCCTCGGAGGGAACTGATCCTCCGGTGTAGGGAGGCAGGAAGGACAGGGTGAATGGGCAGTGCCAGCCAACGGCTGTGGTATTGGAGTGTTTGCCCGCGTGTAATGTTTGTGAACCGCATGTGTGCAGTGCCCGTGGAGGCCAGAAGGGGGCGCTGGATCTCCTGGCACTGGAGCTACAGGGGGTTGTGAGCAGTAATGTGGGTGCTGGGACTTGAACCCAGGCCCTTGGAAGAGCACTCAGTGCTCTTAACTGCTGAGCCATCTCTCCAGCTCCCACTCTAAGTCCCTAATGTGGATCCAGAGCCCAGAACACAGGATCCTCTTGCTTCCGTTTGGCAGAAAAGAAACTAGAGCCCAGAGAGAGGTTGAGCAACAGGGCTCAAGCCTCACAGAGTGTCAAGGCTGAGACCTAGCCCTGGGCCCACCAGGTTTCAGAGTAACCCCCTGTGGACGCTCCCATATGACAGGTGTTGAGGCTGGTGCCGGGGCCGGGGTGTAGATTCTCACATGTCCGGTCTCGTCTCTGACGCCAGCTCTGCTCCCCTTCCTTCTGACCCTTCCAGCTACTCAGGGAGATTTGGCACGTCAATTTCACCCTCCTGGGCAACCAGCTCTTCTTTGACCAACAAGGGGACATGCCGTTGCTCTTGGACATCATCCAGTGGCAGTGGGACCTGAGCCAAAATCCCTTCCAAAGCATTGCCTCCTACTCCCCCATCGAGAAGAGGCTGACCTACATCAGTGACGTGTCCTGGGACACCCCCAACAACACGGTCAGCTTGGAGGGTGGCGGTGCCTGGGGGGCTTGTCAAGGAGGGGCCCTGGAGATGCGTTCGCGATAGCCAGCGGGGTCTCCGTCTGGGGTGCAGGGCCTGAGGTCGAGTCCTTCTCTGTCAGCTGAGAACTATGGAGTTTACGGAGCTCTGGCTCCAGGAGATGGGGGATCAGGGGCCTCTGCTCACAGCCCTGCACTGAGACACAGATGGCTCCGGTATCAGCCTGAGGTGATGGCACTGGGCTTGGTCCTTGCTGCCGCCACCAAATAACCGATAAGAAGCCACTTAAGGAATGAAGGGTGCATTCCTGCTTGGGGTTTGAGGGTACAGTCTGTTATGGTGGGGAAGGGATGGCAACAGGAGCCTGAGGCACACACCCATAGGCAGGAAGAGAGAGAGATGGATGCTGGTGCTCAGCTCATCTTCTCCATTCTACTCAGTCCAGAACCACAGCACACGGGACACTCCACCCACATCCTCCGCTCAAATGTTCTAGAAATGCCTTTCAGACATACCCAGGGGTGCTTGTCCATGGATTCCAAGCGTCATCGAGTTACCCACCACAGGGACTGAGGCTGATGCTCTCTCCCCATTGTACGGACTAGAATGGCAAAGGCACAGAGAGGTTGTATAATACCCTTAAGCCCACACAGCTTGTCTGTGGTAGAGGCTTTCTCTACATAGTTTTCCAGCTGTAGCTGGTCAATCAGTGTTGAATTTGTGGAGTGAATCAGATTGGTGCCTTTTTTCTGTTTTCTTGAGCTCAGGTTCTGGAAGCAGAGGGAGAGGGAAGGCTGGTCCCCGCAGAGGCCAGGAACCTGCGTGGCTTCCCTCCTGGTGTTTGCTGGCACTCCCTGGCTCTTCCTGGCTCATTAATGCTTCGCTCTGATCATCTTCACCTGAGAGTCTCTTTGTGGTTATGTCAGTGGCCAAATGCCTCCTCTGTGTGAGAACACCAGTTTTCTCAGATAAGGGACCCTTCTTTTCTTTAATTATACATGCAACGACCCTATAACGGAGTCGGGTCACATATTTAGGTCATAGGCGTTAAGACCTAAAAGGTCTTACCCAGTCTAAGTTCCCACTGAAATGCAGAGCTTGAGGCAAGGGTTGTGAGTGATAGATTATTACAGACATGGCCCCAAGTACCAGAACTGCGAGATGGGAAGACATGCAACAGGGAAGAGGGAAAACTAGTCCAAGGGATTGTCCTCGAGCCAGACACTGCTGTGAACCACTGGACCGCCCTCCTGTTACCTTCCAAGGACCTGCCTTAGAGCTGTGTCCCAGGGGAGAGGAATGGGCAGCCTGGGTTGGTGGGATCCCATCCCCTGGTGGCCACAGGAGTGCTAAGGAGGACTAAACCCTTGGGTTTCCAGGTCCCACGCATGGCCGAGAGTGACCTGCACGGCCTGCTGGCTGAGGCGAGGCGCTGGCCAGTGATGCTGCATGAGACGGTCCTGCTTGAGTCCAGAGGGCCATGGGGCCTTTAGATTGTCAGGCCATTCTGTGCAAAAGGGGCATCTGGTGGGTAGACGGTGACCATCCCTCCCTTCCGCTTTCATTCTGGGGTCCCTCCCCTTCACTGGCATGCGGTTGCCTGGGTGACCACCTGGGTATATGGTAGACCTCCATGCTGGGGTCCACGGCCCTCAGCTGCCTGATTGTATCTGGACCTTATCCCCACGACAGAGGCATAGGGATGTCCTCAGGTGCCCTGCAGTCTGCCCTGCATGCCCAGCCCAGCTTCTTGTGCGCCGGGCAGTCACTCTGCTGACTGAGCGACATTGCCCGTCCTCTTCTTGCCTTATGTATTTTGAATCTCTCTTGTTAGTGGCATACGCGGTCATACTCACACATACAAGTACTTAAACACGCGGTTGCTGTGCCAGAGGCCTGAGTATCCTTCATGTCCCTTTTTCGGGGGGCTCTTGTAATCTCTGGGTTTCTCTGGAGATTCCACCTCTCATTTTTCTATGTTTATAGTTTTATTTCTTAAGCCGAGTGAGTCAAAATTCAACCTCAGACATTCATTCATTCATTCACTCGGTAAGTTGTCTTACTAGTTGCTTTCTCCAGGGATGATTTCTGCTACCAGGAAAGGGGTTTGCTCTTTGTGCTCCTGGATGCTCAACACACTCCCAGCTGGGCTGGGCCCCCCGGTGCAGTTCTCTGGGCATTTGAGACCCTGATTCCCAGCTTGCTTTTCACTGTGAGGGCTCCAGGCTCTCCACAGTCAAGGTGGAAGCCGGACATCCCTGGTGAAGCTCTCCTCTGCAGCACTTTTGTGTTAGCGTTCTTCATGGCATTTGTATGTATGTATATATGTACATACGTATGTATTTATTTATTTTTGGTTTTTTCAAGACAGGGTCTCTCTATGTAGCCTTGGCTGTCCTGGACTCACTTTGTAGACCAGACTGGCCTCTAACTCACAGGGATCCTCCTGCCTCTGCCTCCCTGAGTGCTGGGATTACAGGTGTGTGCCTCCGTGCCCAGCTCTTCATGGCATTTATAACTGTCCATCTTATTCTTGAAAATACTAAACTCATTATAGTGGGGCTCTGCATCACCGGCTTCATTGTTGTATGCCAGCATCTGACATCTGTGTGTGTATGCATATGTGTGTGTGTGTGTGTGTGTGTGCGTGCGCGCGTGCATGTGTGTGTGCGCACACTCAGGCGTGCATACATGTGCAGGAGCATGTGTGTGTATGCACATGTGGAGGCCAGAGATTAACCTCTGAAACCGCCTAGCTTTTTTTTTCTTTCTTTCTTTTAGACAGGGTCTCTGCCTGGGACCTAGGACTTGCCAACTTAGTTAAGCTGTCTGGGCACAAGCCCTGGGAATCCTCCAGTCTCCAGCTACCCCACAGTGGCATCACAGGCACGGACTGCCACACCTGGCTTTTGACATGGGTGCTGGGGATGGCATTTAGGGCCTCATGCTTTTGTGGGAAGCCACCATCCTTGTGCGAGTGGATGGATGAGTGACTAAAAAGCATTATGAGGTCTCAGGCGTGCGAGGCTGATCTGGTTCCTCAGGAGATCTTGAGTTCAGAGGTGGGAGAGAAGACGTGGCAATGTGTGGTGGCTCATGGCTTCGGAGAAAGGACATGTGTGTGTCTGTGCCGAGTACCTCCACACTGCATTCTCATCTTCCTGTGAGAGAAGTCCCTGTAAGGCACAGGGAACCCAGTCAGGGATTAGATGTTTAATTCTTTTGAATAGATGATGATGGTGATGGTGGTGATGATGATGATGAGTGTTTCTGTTTGTCTGTGTGTATATGATGTATACGTGAGCATGCACAAACGAGGGTTAAAGAACAACTTGGTAAGGTCATTTCTGCCCCCTCCCCTTTACGTGGGCTCTGGAGATTGAACCCAGGTCATCAGGCTTGGCTGCAGGCACCTTTACCAGATGAGGTATCATATCAAGCCCGTAGATGTTTGCTTTTACAGTTTTCCATGAAGTGCTAGGTAGCGATGACTTAGAAATGTCATCTGACGGCCAGGTACAAGGAAGCCTTGGGTGTGTCACAGGTGGGGAGGGGGAGAGCATGAAGGCAGAGACTTCAGACTTGAGAGAGGCAAAGAGAGATGGGCTCAGGCATCAAAGGGTCCTTCTGTGGCTCCCTGGTCCGTGCCCTGGGCCCTTCTTGTGTATGGCCATAAGAGACTGTTCTCCGTCACAAAAAACAATATCTATAAGATATAGCTGCCCACAGACCCCAGAGCTGTGGCTGCCTGAGACATTTTACTGTCTCCTCCCTCTTCCAAGCCCTATCCATGTGTGGCTCCCTCCCCAGGGTGGGATGTTCCATCTTCCTCATCCTCTTCTTCATCCTCCTTACTCCTACTCTTTCCTCTGTGTGGAGTTCATCCATCCATCCATCCCATGCTTGCTGACCTTTGTGCTGGGCTCTTCTGCAGTAGAGACAGTGGGCATGGGCACTGCCCTTGTGTTCTAGCTCATACCCCAGACCCCTGCTCTCCAGAAGGTCATTCCAGCCAGGAGTCTTAGCTATAGATGACAGGGAAGCAAGGTAGAGGAATGAATGGTGACGGCTCAGGCAAGAATGGCTCCAGGATCTCTTGATATCTTCCAACCCTTCCCCACCAAGATCAGGCTTTTCTTTGGGCATGATGTCCTCTTTGTGAAGAGATAGCTTCTGGCACCATCAAGTCTCTCTGTCTCTGGTACCTGCCATAGTGTCTGATTCTCAATGGGGCTGGGGAGACACGGTTCGTAAAGGGCTTACCTTGCAAACACAAAGACATGGGTTTGATGCCCCAGAATCCACGTGAAACAGAGCCAGGCAAGTGGACCTTGTCAACATTCTCAGGAAGTCTCTGTCTTCACCCAGGGGTGCTTTTACCAGAGGATGGTGGAATGGATTGGGCCACAGACAGGCAAAAGTGAGAGTCCTGCAGAGACCCAGGGCTAACAGCAGTTCAGGCAGGGCTAGGCCATCTTCTCTGGAAAAGTATCTTGTTAGGGGGTGGAGTTGGGGGAAAAGCAGGGACCTCCCAGAGTGCAGGGAAAGAGGGCTCAGGGTCTCTTGCCTTCCTCCTTCCAGATCCCTTTGTCCACGTGTTCTAAGAGCTGCCAGCCCGGGTATATGAAAAAGCCTGTGGGCCTCCACCCCTGCTGCTTCGAGTGCCTAGACTGCCAGCCGGGCACCTACCTCAACCACACTGCAGGTATGGTTCGCACCCGCTCTGCCCTTCATCATGCCCTTTGTCATGTTCCCTGTTCATGGTTCAGCGCCCCCACCCTGCCCTGGAGTTCTCAGGGGTCCCTTCAGTTTGTCAGGGTCTCTGCGGCCTTCCCAGAGGAGGCAAGTAACCAAAGGCCAGAGACCAGACCTGGTGCCTCTTATGGTTCCCGATGAAGAAAAATCCCCAGTGCAGATTTCTGTGTGGTACTTCGGGATCAGTCCTCATGCTGTGTGCCAAGCAGGCTACCCACTGAGCCACCCCCGCCCCCAGTCCCCATTGACTGAATTCTTGCTTGAAAGGCACTCTCTTTCTAGATCACTGACTCCAGTGTTTAAACCCACATTAGTGTCTTACACAGTTCAGGGTTGAGTGAAAAGCCTTCTCACGGCCTCATTGATGGAAAATTAATTGGCGATTTCACTTCTGAATAAAAACACTTGCTGTGTGCCCAGCAGCATGCAGGGCCCTGACTAAGTGCTGATCAGGCCTGTGGAAAGCTTCTGCCAGCCCATCTGTCACAGCTGCCAGTGGCCTGCGGACAGGGGTCAGGTTTTACCGCTCTCCAGGGCTCTCCATCTCTGGTACCTGCCAGGCACCTGACCCTCAGGGCTTACTCCGGGGCTGGGAAAACATGGTTGCTAAGGGGCTTACCTTGCAAATATGAGGACAGGGGTTTGATCTCCAGGATCCATGTGAAATAGAGCCAGGCACTGTGGCATTCACTGGGATTCAGCGCTGGGGAGGCTGAGACAAGCAGATCCTTAGGGCTCACTGGCCTGCCAGTTTAGGGGACTTGTTGAGTTCCAGGCGGGTGAGAAACGAAGTCTCAATAAGAAAGGAAGGAAGGGAGGAACAGAGGGAGGGAGGGAGAAAGAGAGAGAGGAAGAAAGAAAGAAAGAAAAAAGAAAGAAAGAAAAGAAAGAAAGAAAAGAAAGATGGCATTTGAGGAATAATATCGATGTCCTTTGGTCTGTGCACACGCGCGCGCGCGCGCGCGCACACACACACACACACACACAAATGCTATCTGAAGGAGGTTCCAATAAGGGGACAATATCTTGGCAGCGAGGCCTTGGGTTTGAATCATTATTTGTTAACTGACCCGCTTTGGGCCTTTGAGAAAAGGACTTACCACAGCTGGGCCCTGTCCGTCTGTGAGGCATGGGGGTGGCTTGGATCCACCATGGCAGGAGGAATTCCTGTAGCCTCTGTCTGCCTCAGGGCCCAGGCCCAAGGACACAGGGGCTCCCGGGTGAGGTCCAGCTGACAGGAGTTGCTGTGCGCTCTCACAGATGAGTTCAACTGTCTGCCCTGCCCGGGTTCCATGTGGTCCAACAAGAATGACATCACCTGCTTCAAGCGGCGGCTGGTCTTTCTGGAGTGGCACGAGGTGTCCACCATCGTGGTGGCCATACTGGCTGCGCTGGGCTTCCTCAGCACCTTGGCCATTCTGTTCATCTTCTGGAGGCATTTCCAGACGCCCATAGTGCGCTCGGCCGGCGGGCCCATGTGCTTCCTCATGCTGGTGACGCTGCTGCTGGTGTTCGGGATGATGCCGGTGTACGTGGGGCCCCCCACGGTCTTCTCCTGCTTCTGCCGCCAGGCCTTCTTCACCATCTCCTTCTCCATCTGCCTCTCCTGCATCACTGTGCGCTCCTTCCAGATCATGTGCGTCTTCAAGATGGCCAGACGTCTGCCTCGTGCCTACGGCCTCTGGATGCGTTACCACGGACCCTACGTCTTTGTGGTCTTCGTGACGGCCATCAAGGTGACCCTGGTGGCGGGCAACATGCTGGCCACTACCATCAACCCCACTGCCCGGACGGACCCCGACGACCCTAACATTATGATCCTTTCTTGCCACCCCAACTACCGCAACGGGCTGCTGTTCAACACCAGCGTGAACTTGCTGCTGTCCGTGCTGGGCTTCAGCTTCGCTTACATGGGCAAGGAACTGCCCACCAACTACAACGAGGCCAAGTTCATCACTCTCTGCATGGCCTTCTCCTTTACCTCCACCATCTCCCTCTGCACCTTCATGACTGTCCACGATGGGGTGCTGGTCACCATCATGGACATCCTTGTCAATGTGCTCAACTTCCTGGCCATCAACTTGGGATACTTTGGCCCCAAGTGTTACATGATCCTTTTCTACCCGGAGCGCAACACTTCAGCTTACTTCAATAGCATGATCCAGGGCTACACCATGAGGAAGAGCTAGCCCCGCCCACTGGCCTCAGCAGCAGGCTCCCCCCCCCCCACCAACCCCCCGGCCATGTTGTTGGTGTTCTTCTGCCATTCTCTGCAGCCTAGCTATTTTTTTTTTAATCCATTTAGCTCTTGAAAATACCCATACTGCACTCTTCCCTCATGAGCTGTTTCACTGGCTGGGAGAACTACCCAGTCACAGAAGAAACCATCCAAGGTGGCCTCTGCGACTTCAAGGATGGTCTGATTTATAAGCCCACCGCTGCCATCTGGTGGTCACAGTGAGCACCTGCAGCTTGTGGCCCACGCCTTGCAGTCTGCTCATGGCTAGTGGCTGTGAGGCCAGCAGCAGTGTGGTTCAACATGTTCCCCAGCCGTCTTGTGTCTCTGTGTTTCCTTTTCAGTTCCTGGGAAGCACAGACAGGGGGCTCCTGGGTTCTAATGGGCAGATAGGCATCGTGGGGTTCTCACTGTTGCTTTTGAATAAACTTCCCTTAGGTGAAATCAATGTCCCTTCTTGACTTCAGAGGTTCCCCGAGGAAGGGCCGGTGGTCTCAATCCGGGCATTCATTGTCTCTCCGTGGTGGGTGACCTTGGGATGACTTTTCCTTGAGTCTACACTTGCTCATCTCTGAGATGGGAGTCATAGGCACAGATGTTGATGTTTAAGGGCTGAGGAAATGGAAGATGTTAAAGGATTCGTAGGAAGGAAGGAAGCTCACAGCATGGTTGCCATAGATAGCCATGATGGAGCCCTGGATGGAGAGAGGGAGCCTTTGGGTCTTAAGAGGCGCTTTCTCAAAAGTGAAAGCCCCAACAGATAGCATGACAGGGGCCTGCAAGAGAATAAGTCTATGGAACAAAGGGAGCTCCTTTTCTGGGGTGTGTGTAGGGGACCCCCCCCCCCCACTGTGTTAATTTAGGCTGCTTGCCAGGAGTCCTAGGACATAAAGGCACTAGACAAAAGTGGGGTTATAAGTCAAGGTTGTTTTGGGCCTGGGTATGGGGTGTGGTGGGGCCTGGGTTTGCAATTGCAAGGAGGAGTCTTCCAGGTTGTATCAGGCCTGCTGGTCAGCTCTGCCCAGACAGAGCTGTGGTTAGGGGAGAGAGAGACAGAGATTGTATAACCTAACGAGAGTCCATGATATACCATAATAAGGTAAAAAATGCACACAACTGGTCCTCAATAAATGCCAACCACTATAAATTCACATGCCTCTAAACCATCAGGGCAATGTAAAGTTGTGCTTTGTGTGTGTGTTCTCTGTGTGAGTGCACATGTATGCGCAGATGAACATGTATGTACATGTGTGTGAAGGCCAGAGAACAACATTAGGTGTTGTTTCTCAGAAACAATAGGGTGAGAGTAAGGCGTAGACTCTTCTGGGCCTGGAACTAGCTGATGGGCTGGGCTGGAACCCAGGGAGCCCCAAGGATCTGTTAAAGTAACTTTTATTCTCTAGAAGTAATTGTCATCTCAGGGGCTCACTGCCTCTGTCTGCTAACCTAGGCCTAGTCCTGGAAGCTTCTAGTCTCTGTACAATCTAATCTAGGCCTAGAATGTTTTCAGCCTCTGAGACTTACTGCTGAATAAGTTCACCCTTTCTAGCTCTTTCTGAACTCTGGATGGCTGGTTCAACTCAGGAACTTCTCTCTAAGCTGACTGACTCAAACTGGCTTCTCGCAGCTTCTGACTAACTTGCTCTGCTTGGCCTCAAAACTAACTCTAGCAGTTTGTTCTAATCTTCTGGCTCCTTCTCGTTCTCTGGCTTCAACTGCCTCTGCTGACCTGCCCTGAACTCACAATGAACTCCAACCTTGATACTTCCTTCTGCAAACTAACTTTACCTTCATTGTTTAAAATTAAAGGTGTGTACTGAAGCTGTGTCTGGATTCCAGCCAGAGCAGCCACGTTGCTGGATTAAAATTCCTCTACAAGGATCTGACTGTTCTGTCTACAAGCCACCGTGCCTGGTGTGGAGGTTTGAATGAGAACAGTCCCCACAGGGTTCATGTGTTTGCATGCTTGGTTACCAGTTGGTGGAATTGTCTGGGAAGGGTTGGAAGAGGTGTGTCACTGGGGGTGGGCTTTGAGGTTTCAGAAGCCCATGCCGCATCCAATTAGCACTTTCTGCCTTTGGTTGTTGTCTCAGCTACTGCCTTGCCTGCCTGCTGCCATGATGGTCATGGATGCTACTACCCCCTGGAATCTTGAGCCCCAAATTAAATGCGGTCTTTTATAAGTTGCCTCGGTCATGGTATCTTTAGCACAAAAATAGTAAAGTAACTAAGACGCTTGGCTTTCTCTTTTTTTCATGTAGGTTCTTGGATTCTCATCCTGTGTGACAAGCACATTAGTGACTGAACCACCTTCCAGCCCATACTAATTTTAGTGCTCACATTTCTGAGACCTCCTGTACTAGAGACCATGGTACAAACCCCTGTGGAGAGCCCACCTTTCTTAAACTGTTCCCCAGCCTTGTCCACCCCAGCAAATGGATCTCATAGGCCTTAGTGCTCCAGAGTCAGTACATTGGGGCCACCTTGGCACTGCCAGCTTGGGAGACATCATGCTGCTGGGCATGGCACTGCCTAGTATACCCCTATCTCATGGTGGGCTCCAGGCAAGGTCCTCTGACTCCTCCTGTGTCCAGAGCTCAGGCCGGACTCCCTCAACGTTTACTAAGGAGATGGAACTGCAGTGTGAAGTTCCAAGCTGTTCTCCAGAGAGCCTGGGTGGCTTGTTCAGAGGCTCCAAGTCTCAGACAGGAGTGCAGGCCAGAATGGTGGTACTTGGGTGGGACAGAGGGACAAGCTTCCTGAAGGTTTGCTGCCCGAGGACATGGGGAAGGCTTTTCAGATTGCTTCTGGGAGTGGGAGTGATCACAGTTTCCTGGTAGTTGGAAGGTGGGGTCAGGTGTGGATGGCATGAAGATGGAAACACAAACTAGAAGGAAGGACAGCGGGGGCCCGGGGCAGAGGCTCAGCTCTGGGTCTCTGGGCCTTGTCCTTTCCAAGTGGCCCTGCCTGCTTGCACTCTGGGCACAGTGTTAATTAACCCTGCAGCTCTGCTCTGTCCCCCTAGAAGCCATCCTGGTACAACTTGCTCCATGTCCAGCTGTGTCTTCCCACAGTCCTTGGTGTGGGTCTCATGTAAGAGCTGGAGATGGTTAGGGGAAAAGCCTGGGTTAGGCAGAATTTTCCAGCGGAACCAACAGACCCATGGAATGTGCTTATAAAATGATAAGAGGGCATTTAGTGGACGAGACGACTTGGCCTGAGGCTGAATAGCCCCACTATAGTGACCTGCAGACAGGAGAGTTGGGGACCCCTCAGCTGTTCAGACCGAGAAGGACAAAGCTGCAGCTCCAGTCTGAGGCCACAGGCCTGGGAATCCTCTGGAGAATGTGGGTCCACCCTGACGCTCAAAGGCGAAAGAGGCTGGAGGCTGATAATGTCCATTGCAACAGAAACACTCGCTTGAGGATAGCCAAATGTGCGCTAGCTTCCCTCTTCCATGCTTCATCCTGCCAGGCCCATGGGGGCAGCCCTCCCCACTCAGTATGCCGGCCCTCCCACCAGTCATCTCAGGAAATGCCTAGAGCTGCGCTTTACCAACCTCCCAGGTGGTTCTTAATGCAGGCAGACCCACCACGGAAGCTTTCATCGAACACAAAGGATGGGGGCCTTTTCTAGAACTGAGGTCTCCCTCGGTGGTTCTTCTCCATCCCTTCCATACCTCCCAGGGGAGCCTGGAGCCTAGGCAGAGAGGCCTGGCTCAGCCCCCAGCTTTCGGGGAACATTTGCAGGGCCTGGTCCTGGACCTGGCTGCGTCCCGCCTGTCCCCCTCGCCTGAGGGACCAGATTGTAGGAGCACGGGGAGTTTTAATCTCTTAATTCTTTCTTTTTACATCCTTCTATGCCTTGGCTTAATTTCTTTTTTTTTTTAAGTGAGCTAATGGCCTCATTTCTGGGTTCTGCTGGAGGATCAACATTGGCGGAGAAAATCCCAAAACCTCTCCGATCTCAGAGGGTACGTGCTGTACATCTGGGCAGCGGCTGCGATGGAGAGGGTCTTAACCCTTCCTTCCCCTCCAGAGGTTCACTAAGGACACCCTCCTGTCAGACAACTATTGTGTGTTGTGTTGTATGTGTGTGTGTGTGTGTGTGTGTCTATGCATGTGTGTTGTCTGTGTGTGTTGAGTTGTGTGTATGTGTGGGGTGTGTGTGTGTGAGGTGAGTGGTAGGTTGTGTGTGTGCACACGTGATGTGCCATGTGTGTGGTGTGTTTGGTGTATGCGTGTGGTGTACAGGGGTACAGATTCATGCTTGTTCATGAGCATGTAGAAACCTGAAGACAAGCTCCTGGGTTGTTCCATTGTTTTTGTTTTGTTTTGCTTTTTTCTTTTAAGCCATGGTCTTTGACTGGCCTGGAACTCACCCAGTAGGCCAGGCTACCCCACAAACCCCAGGATTCCTTCTGTGTTGGGATAAGAAGTGAGCCTGGCTTTTTCCCTACAGGCTCAAGTCCTCAGGCTCTCAAGGCAGGCCTGTTACCGACCGATCTCCCCAGGGTACCCCAGGCTAGACAATTTCTTGAGAAGTCAAGTGAGACTCTGATTCTCTGATTTCCATCTGGTTTTTGTGTGGTGGCCCTTTCTCTGGGACAGCAGATGGAACCTTCTTTGAAGGCGTGCCTGCTCCAGTACTCTCCAGGACTTCCGCTGACCCCCAGCACCCCTATGTACCTAGCGGCCCCTGTTCTCAGAGCCGGAACTCTGCGGGCCCATCTTCTGGGGTGACGGTGGGGGAAAGGTGACCTTTTCCTCATCTGCTGTGGTCAGCTCAGGGGTGAGCACATGACCCGGGCTTGTCTTATCCGAGGGACTCTCAGGATTAGTGCTGGGACAGAACATAGACTCTAGAAAGCCACGGGGATGACTGGGGCAGTTTTCTGGGTGGGTCAGGCTCACAAGCCCCGGCCATCTGCATGGCCACATGAGGGGGTCACTTCCTGTCCCTCTCTGTGGCCACATGGTAGACTCGCCTTCTGCCCTCTCTGCGGCCACAGTGACCCCTTCCAGCTCCCAACCTGCCACACTGTCTCAGAGCCTTTGCACAGAATTTCTTCTCTGGGAATGCCCCTCCCCGGGAGCCCTGTGGCGTGGACCCTTGTTTAGCTTCTCCCTCCTGACTGTCAGCTGTCCTTCACATCCATTCCAGGGTAGGCGAATATTTCACTACCTTGCTGTGTGCACCTGCCCCAGGACACGGAAACAGAAGCACATAGGTGCAGGGGAGGGAGGTCGCCGACTGTCAGACACCTAAGAGAACATTCAGCCCAGAACAAAAGCCTGTGAGTATTGTCAGAGGTGACAAATGACTCAGGCTGGACTGGGCTGTGGGGTCAAGACCAGCTGACCCAGTAGCCGCTCTGAAAGTCTGGAGGAAATGCCCAGAAAGAAGGACCAGCATTCATCATTTCAT